TAAATTTTGATGTTCTATACATACTTAGTTAAAAGGGTGACTTCACTTTCAAATTTTTAATTTTTATAAACGAGAATTTTTCTTACTTTCTATTACAGTGTCTTATTATAGCTTAATTTATGAACTTAAATATATTTCTCTATAAATGTTTGGGGTTAATTTAAAAATTCAGGTTAAAACTAAAAAACGATTCTATTTTCTGTTATAAAAATTTGTGATCTACGTATAGAATATATATATATGTTATATTGAAATATATTTTTTTAAATGTTATATGATAAAATGTTATTTTATTTAAAGTTATAATTTCATAGATATAAATACTCTGTTTTAATCGACCGCCAGAGGTCACGCTTTCTCTATAAATAATCATTGTTGTTCTTCCCCGTTGGCCGACCCAAAACTTTGTAATTATGTAAATAATATTTTGTTTTATTTATTCTCACGCCTTAAGCCAGGCATTACTTTTATCAAATTATGTTATTCATATATATTACTCAGCTCAAATAAAGAAATCTATGATCTTCAATATTATTTTTATTTCTAGATTTTGGCCACGACTGCACCACCATAGCATAATCACCAAGATGATCATAAATATACAAGCAGAAAAACCAAATCTCATTTTTTTATATAATATATATATATTGAAAATTATTTATATTTTAATTAAAAAGGCATATATTGTATCAAAATATTATTTATTTTAGCTATATATTTATATATGTGAAAAAATAGAAATTTAGTCAGGTGTTGATATTAAAAACAAAAAAGTCATAAGTGCAAAGTCTAACTACTTTTCATATGTATAGACATGTGGTGCACTTCCAGTAAAAGCAGTCGCCTACTTCTACGCACCATGATTATCATGGCTTGTACCACGTGTACTAGGGATAAGCAAAATAATTTCATATCTATGCTCATCTGAGCAGTCAGGATACGCTTTTTTTTTTTCAATTTTATATATGTACTAGCGGATGTACCCGGCTTCGCCCGGGTTTTACTCACCATGATTATCATGGCCTGTACCACGTGTACTAGGGATAAACAAAATAATTTCATATCGCATATCTAAAATGTTCATCTGAGAAGTCAGGATATGCTTTTTTATTTATTTTATATATGTACTAGCGGATGTACCCGGCTTCGCCCGGGTTTTACCCGAGTAAAGGTTTGTCTAACGAACATATGTTAAAACAATTCTCTATAAACTTATTAAAAAAAATAATATATATATTTTTTGATAATTTGAAACTCGTAAATTTGAATCTCTGGATAAAGTGAACATTTTTTCCCGGTCCATAGAAAAATACTCGATAAGTTGAATAATATCAATATTAATTGGTTCCCTCGGTAATTGGAAGTTAAAGGAATAGTATCTTGCCTTGGAATTGTATCATTATTCTTGTTTCAAATAAATTGCCGTGTCATCCTGAATTTTGTCTTTCCTAATTTTCTACATTACAAAATTATCGTTTTATCTAGTGAACATTTTTTCCCGGTCCCTTGAAAAATACTCGATAACTAACTTTGACTTGTGCGCAATTAATAGGTAGAAAATCTTACTTTTGATAAATAATCTTTAAGATAATAAACTTAGTGATAATAAAACTTATAGATAAAAACTTGTTATCATCGTCGCAATGGTGGCGCTGCTTGCGAGTTAAATCTACAAATCTGCAAATAACTCTAAGGATATTCAAGATATTCAAGATATTATTTTTCAGAAACCTTCCCAGTACTATACTAAATAACTTCCCAAAGTTTCATGGCGTTCCAATGAGTGGTTTGGTCAGGCATAAAGGACAGACACACACATACATTCATTTATATATATATATATAAATTATTTATTTTTTTCTCAATGAATTATATATATTAATTTAAAAATTCATTTTTGTTATCATCATCACATACAATGTATTTTTTTATTTAAACAAACAATAATAAACAACAACAACAATGTAATTTGCATCTTCATTATTATAAAACAACAACAAATTAAATTAACAATTTAAAAATATATTTTAAAATTACATTTCAACATTTAACACAAAAACGTTACAATATTTTCTTTAAATATATATTAATATTAAAATGGCAAGTTTTTTACGTAATTGGAATATTATATTACTAAATTCTCAAATTAAATTTATTATACTTGGAACACATTTTAAGCATTGTTACAATTTATAAATATAATTTCACCAGGGACCGCGAGAGGCGCTGCTTGCGATTGGAAGTAGAAAATTTGCAAATAAAATTGCAAAGAATATTTATTTCAAATCAAATTCTAACCAGAAACCTTCCAAGTAGTATAGTAAATAACTTCCTAAAGTTCCACGGTGATTGGATAATCTTACCTTTTAAAAACATTCATCGTGTGAACAAGCTAACATTCATCGTGTAAACAAATCACGTGTTAATTATTAACCAATCAAATTCATTTATCGTCGCGACCAGTGCTGCGCCCAAGCGGTAAAAGGCTGGAACTAACGCTTTTTGGTTTTATATTAAAAAAGAACACATTAACCATTTTAGTCTTTTGAATAGCCTATATGTTAAACGAAATCATCAAGTACCTACATGCGAAATTTCATAAAGATTTATTCTGTAGATTTTGCGCAACGCGATAAAAAACATCAATTTTGGATTTCATTTTTATAGATATAAGGATTAAATGAAGCACTTCTACCTTTATAAGGCATATAAAATATGAATTTTGTTTATCACCACAGTGTATAACGCAAAAATGTTGATAAAAATGAGCCTCAAAACAAGTTTTGGAAAAATCAAACAAAAGCTAATCTGTATACCACGGTTTCGAGCTATGGTCTTTATCAGTACAGTAAGATACATTATATTAACAAATTTTTCTAAAAGCCTGAAATTTTTTTATGTCATTGAATTTTGCGAATATATTTATATTGTGACCCTAAAAAATTAAGAAAATAATTAAAAACTACTCATATTACCCCAAGTACTCTTGATAGAATAAATATTATTTATTTTCTTAAATGTGTATCGCGTCACCCATAGAATTTTGAATAGTTAAAGCTATCGTTTTTCATTTTCAACATGTTTTAAATAGATAATAAAAAGGCATATATTGGATTGAATAAAAGATTTATTTGCCAATATTTCGGTTGGATGAACGCCAACCTTCATCAAGACATTACAATTTTGTATATATATTGGCAAATAAATCTTTTATTCAATCCAATATAGGCCTTTTTATTATCTAATGATTTAAATATGGATTGCTCTATTTTCAGAACATGTTTTAATATTAACGAAATCATTTTTATCGTCTCTTAAAATTCGTCAATAGGAGGTTTTTCTTTTTTTTTTCTTTAGTAATTATATATATTGACATAAGAGTTATGGATCTAAGACCGAATTATTCCCAGGTCTTCTGAACATAGAATGCACAAAAAAGATAAATTCAGATTAGTGAAAAGTCTTTACTAATATAAGCTCACATAAACAAAGAAACACTACTACATAAAAATCCATCTCTGAAAAAAAAAGAAGATGAAAGTTCCAAAAGAGAGAGAAAAACTAAACAAATCAATAAAATATCATTATGATCAACAAAATTCCAAGTACTTCCAGAGAACAAATGGCTAAAAGTTTTTTGCAAATGGCATCGTAAAAAATAGAGCAAGTTGAAAAGAGCTATCATCATAAAATATGATGATGAAAGGCTTACGAGATCATTTTATATTTAGAGATAGAGAGGGGGGGAAACACAAGTAAACATAGCATTAAGATCTTCATTTCAAGAAAAATAAATTAACCCATGAAATTCCATGAAACGACAAACACAGAAGAATTACTTCTCTAAGATATTCAATAAATGGAACTCCAATTATACAAAACCATTTACAAATGGCAATACACTTAGTGAGATTCTAAAAATAAAAGTTTTTTTAGAGAAAACAACTTTTGGTTAATAAATCTGATGATTCAATAAAATAAAATGGCGTTTTGAAGAAAAATGTCATCTTTTGATCGTGTAACTGATATTTTTGATGATGGCTTGTACCTTTTATATCTCTTAGAATTGGGACCAAAATACTTTTATCGCTAACCAGGTCTGTCCCATAATTATTAATGTATTATTATGCTATTAATGTATATTTATGTATACTGCACTATCTGTAGAAATAAATATGAACTGAAGATTGATTTTTTATATCTGTTAGAATTTGGATCAAAAGACTTTTCTTGCTAACCAGGTCTGTCCCAGAATTATTAATGTATAGTATTAATGTATTATTATGCTATTAATGTATATTTATGTATACTGTACCATCTGTAGAAATAAATATAAACTGAAGATTGATTTTTTATATCTCTTAGAATTTGGACCAGAAGACTTTTCTTGCTAGCCAGGTCTGTCTCAGAATTATTAGTATATAGGTTTTCATTCTCAAATTTGCTTGAAGATGGTGATAAGAAAGATTCAAAAGATTATTTCTTTTTGACGATTAATGGTTAATGTTTGATGTTCTTTCAAATAAATATGTCATATTTACATATATAGTTTGACATGTTCTCGTGGAGCGTATATGAGGCACACGGAGAAAATAAATTATAATTATTGCATATATAATCTCAAATTGTGCCACAATTGCATATATATGTTTAAATCCAATGATTTGAATCGTGCATGAGGAAATATATTATTATTTTTATTATTATTGAAGATCTGGTGGATGGTTAATATAATAATTATTATATTTAAGACTACAAATCGTATTTAGATAAATATTTTAAAGTCCAAACTCAATTTCAATTTTCTTTTTTTTTTATTTAAGATAAGAAAGGCAGTATATATATAAGGGCAGTAGATATTTGCTTAATTTTTTAAAGAATCATACCCGTCTAGAAAGAAACACATGCGGGATAATTTTCAAATGTCGTTCTACAATCATAAACCACATTATATTGTATTATAAAGTACTCTATATAATATTTACGAACGTAAAAATATGTCCAGGGTAGCCTAGTGGACATGGCATCTGCCTGGTAAGCGGAACACTGTTGGGTTCGATTCCCATCCCTGGACACTTTATTTTTCCGTTTATCATTACTCTTCACAATTCATCCTTTCATACTTCATCCATAAGGTTAGAAATAATCGTTATATTTCTCCTTAAAATAAATTTCTATTTTTCGTTCAAAAGAAACACATGCGGGATAATTTTCAAATGTCGTTCTACAATATATATAATGAGTAAGACTTAGGATTGGCTGTAGCTTCACTTGTAGAAGAGGCAAGTGAGTGAAATAATGTCCATGGAAGAAATGAAAAATGAATAGAGATCTCCCTAACCCCACCAAGTCTATAAATCTGTCTATTCTTGGGCAGAAGATAAGGGCAAGCAGCTGACAGCGTGGGGTAGCAGAAGATGACTCATCACTTCGTCTGCCACTTAAAGTGACTCACTCATCTAGATAGACCACGGAGGTCTAAGTAAGTGACATTCTCTTATCTTTCTACAAGATGTCGCTGATAAAAACTGGTCCTACCATGCGCTTTCAACTTCCTTATCTCAGAGGTTCTTCTTCATCAATAGATACAGATGTAAACAATACATGTAGCGCAGCCTATATATCAGGGATTGACCTATTCAACAGTATTTCTTTTTACATAAAGATTCACATATGAGATCCGTGCGCTTTCAACTTCCTTATCTCAGAGGTTCCCCTCTTCATCAATAGATATAGATGTAAACAATACACCTAGCGCACTCTATCTGTCAGGGATGGAACTATTCAACATTATTTCTTTTTACATAAAGATTCACAGATGGGATCCGTGCGCTTTCAACTTCCTTATCTCAGAGGTTCTTCTTCATCAATAGATATAGATGTAAACAATACATGTAGCGCACTCTATCTGTCAGGGATGGAACTATTCAACATTATTTCTTTCTACATAAAGATTCACAGATGGGATCCGTTCGCTTTCAACTTCCTTATCTCAGAGGTTCTTCTTCATCAATAGATATAGATGTAAACAATACATGTAGCGCACTCTATCTGTCAGGGATGGAACTATTCAACATTATTTCTTTCTACATAAAGATTCACAGATGGGTTCCGTGCGCTTTCAACTTCCTTATCTCTTGAGGTTCTTCATCAATAGATATAGATGTAAACAATACATGTAGCGCACTCTATCTGTCAGGGATTGAACTATTCAACACTATTTCTTTTTACATAAAGATTCACAGATGGGTTCCGTGCGCTTTCAACTTCCTTATCTCTTGAGGTTCTTCATCAATAGATATAGATGTAAACAATACATGTAGCGCACTCTATCTGTCAGGGATTGAACTATTCAACACTATTTCTTTTTACATAAAGATTCACAGATGGGTTCCGTGCGCTTTCAACTTCCTTATCTCTTGAGGTTCTTCATCAATAGATATAGATGTAAACAATACATGTAGCGCACTCTATATGCCAGGGATTGAACTATTCAACACTATTTCTTTTTACATAAAGATTCACAGATGGGTTCCGTGCGCTTTCAACTTCCTTATCTCTTGAGGTTCTTCTTCAATAGATATGGATGTAAACAATACATGTAGCGCACTCTATATGCCAGGGATTGAACTATTCAACATTATTTCTTTTTACATAAAGATTCACAGATGGGATCCGTGCGCTTTCAACTTCCTTATCTCTTGAGGTTCTTCATCAATAGATATGGATGTAAACAATACATGTAGGGCACTCTATATGCCAGGGATTGAATTATTCAACATTATTTCTTTTTACATAAAGATTCACAGATGGGATCCGTGCGCTTTCAACTTCTTTATTTCAGAGGGTCTTCTTCATCAATATAGATGTAAACAATACATGTAGATTGGGTTATATAAACACCTGAAGCAAATTCATAAAAATCGCGAAATCATAAGGCGAAAGATTTCTTTTAAAGTTTTTATTATTTTACCGAGCTTCGAACATACTGCCTTTCCACTTTTTCTCCTGTGGAAGGACAGTAATGTTTGAAAGCTCGGCAAAATAATATTAAAAAACTTAGAAAGAAATTTTTTGCCTTATGATTTTACACTTTTTATGAATACACGTACCGCACTCTATATATCAGGGATTGAACTATACAACACTATTTTTCTTTTTACATAAAGATTCACAGGTGTTCAATGAAACCATGAAAAAAGATGTTTCTAATTGTAGAATATTCACAAATATTTGAAGAAATTGCTGGGTAGATTCACAACTGATGAATCAAGTCTTTTAAATTGTTTTTTTAAATATTCAGTTGAATCATTTTATACAAAACATTACAATGATTAACCTGAACTTGATATATTAAGACCTAAGGCACACTAACTCTAACAAACCCACAATATCTACTCATAGACAAAACTTAAGGAAGTTGTATGTCTTTCAGCATGTATATCGGGATACAGACAATAACTCTGAAAGATATTACAGTGACCTTTATTGAAGACATACGAGATAATCAAGTGTAAAAAAAATTTCCTCCCTCTCCTTCAAAAAAAAAAAAAACAGACGACCGGCCACATCAAAGACTTTCTACTTCCTTTAGTTTTGTCCGTGATTGTATAGACAATAAAAAATTATCATTAATTTTTATTATCATAATTTATAATGAATGTTCGTATAAAGGTCAATAGTCTGCTTTTAAATTTTAATAATACGAATCTCTATCTATGATTAATTAAAAAAGGAGAATTTTAAAAATCCATTATATATTATTTATATAGAACATGTTTAAAAATTCATATGCTTTTCTTAAAATTAACACTTAACGTATATTCAGATTTTTAAATTAAATTGCTTCTTGTTTCAAAAGAATATAGAAAAAGAAGATTGGTTGTGTTTAAAGGGGGATTGTTTTCCTAACCGATTGAGTTCTCAATTTTAATTTCAACTAAAAGCTTTACGACTTTATTAACATGTGGAAAAGCGTTTTAAAAATATTTTTTCTTTCAGGATGAAGTTATTTTTAAAAAAGAGTGAAAAAAAATCCTTTTTCCATCAACCAATACATCAATGTTCACAAACATTGACTCTTTATTTCTCTCCAGCAAATTTGGGAAGTCGCTTCTGATTTCAGGAAATCTCTTTAGTAATGTTTGGGAACACAATAGGATCAAGTTTTTTTATTAAAGTTTCTATTGTGTTAATTAGTTATTGGTTAGATTAATGGTTTTTTTTTATTGATGAAGTTATAATACCATTATCATTTAATGTAAATAGGCATATCCATTTCAAAATCTAAGTATCTTTTGATAAATTCGACCGATTTCATAACTTCACTCGTAGGATGTTATGAAATCGAAGCTGCCTCTGTACTGATGAGGGCCATAGACTGAAAGATTGGTATTGTCTTACGTCAGGTCACAGCTTTGCAGGGTAATCGACCTTTATTTCCTACTTTATTGGTATTGTATGTGTTTCCCGATCGGGTTTCCATAATAAAGGTAAATTATAAAACAGTAAATAATGAAATAGTTATCTTCAGAAATTGCTTAGTTTATTTATTTGTTGTGTCATCTTCGTAGTTGTCTTTCTCGTAGTCTTCACGTCCGTAGCTCTTCATTTCTCAAATAAAATAATCAAGATACTTGTATGTACAATAACAATGTTATAAAAGGAATGATACTATAAAAAGGATTGATACTATAGTAACAACAATATATACACACAAAGCTTTATTAAGACCACCGGTCTTATACAAATTCACCACAGGTAGAAAGGAAGCATAGGTGGCGCTCCTATACTCCAGGCAGTACAGAACCCAACAACAGGCTCCAGGTCCGACACATGTCCAATGGCCACTCGCCCGAAAACAATATTATTCTTGCTAAATTCCTCAACTCTGTCATCGGGCATGTTGGGGACATGATCTCCATAACTGGCAGGAGTCTGTCTGAACTCAAGAAGATTCTAAGCTCCTGATAGGATCCAGACGTCCCTTCGGAGAAAGCTCCGTCTGTTGTAAATATTTCTCTTTATTTTAAATCTAATTGTAAATCCTCTTTTTGCTGTTGACTAGATGTCAATAAACTATTTTTAATTGTCATGTCCAATGGCCACACGTTCCTTCGTGCATACGTCATGGTTAGCGTATCACTGAACAGACTAGTGTGGAATCAGCCGTGTTTTAGTCTTCACTTTCCTCGTCCAAATGGACCACGAATTCAGCGATTCTATGATTAATACTATAGTACATAATATGTTTAAAATAATTTAAAAATATCAGAGAGTATTTTGAATAAATGAATGAGTGTATTAAACATGATGTAACAATATACAGGTTGGATTTTAGTCTGAATTTAACAAAACTGGTGTTGTAGCGAATTCTTTATCACTACTAGTAATTTTTACTGGGATGATAAACAAAGTAAATTGCTTTAATGTATTTAAAAAGGAGAGCTACATATTTTGGTACCTGAATATCATCCTCTCTTAGCTTCTTGTTTAAGTTATAATTGTTGAGAAAGATGTCAAAATTGTATTTTTTTGAGTAAATTTAATATATATATTATATTTAGTATGCAGAATAGATTCGAAAAAAAAAATATATATATATATATTTGTATAAAAGTATGACGAATCTAAAGTTTTGCGGAGGAGCCTCTTTTATTATACTTTTGCAAGCTTTCGAACCTTTCGGTTCTTCCACAGGCGTGGCTAGTATGACTACACTAACAGGGTATAAGCGCGGTTGAGCCATTATATACAACATATAAATTCACATGCGGAGTGATATTTCAAACGTAATAAAATAGAAATAGGAACTATGACTATAAAAATAAAACTATGTAAATGAACCTATAGATTTTTAAAATTTAGATGAAATTATGGCAAAAACTTTTAAATGCGATAAAAGTTAAGTAAAATAATGATATTCACTGTATGTAAGCCGTGTGACACTTTAAAATTTCGTAACATTTAAAACCAGTAAAATTTTAACACATCTCAACACAGAAAAACCAAGCTGGGGTCCACTCCTCCCGACCACACACCCGAGTGTATCACGGTGTAACTATTGAGATATTA